TAAACTGATTTGCTTGATGATTCGAAAGGAATCAGTAGTGCAGACTTTAGTGAGACTGTGGGAATCGAACCCAGGGTTGGTCACAGGAGGACAGCGTATTCACTACAGAGTAAGTATGACCTGTGAAATTGAATTCGTTACTGAAGCTGGGGGAACCTCACCTGTAATGTGGTTTGGTGCGTAGTTTGCGAAGGAAAGTGCTTGTTTGCAGTGAATACTGCTATCGCCGCACCAGTCGCGTCTCGTGTTGGCTGTAAATATAATATTATAATTGATTTTCATGCTAATAATTCTAATAATACAATCACTATAAAGTAAAGCCGTATTTAAGATGTGCGTAGGCGAGGCTGGTACCTCCTCTGCTAGGGGCGGATTTGTTTTAAGACTCACACAAGTTGCATTACGATTGTAGTACAAGTGCAGCAGCAGTTAGAATAAAAACTTCAAATTGGAGTCTAGTAACTAGAAACTTACCAATATTGTAAACTTGCCAGTCTCGAGCTCAGACTTAAGTGGTTCCTCAAAAGGCTCGAACTTATTAAGGCCCTCGCGCCTGCGTGTCGCTTCATGCTGCCTCCACAACGCATGTGCGCGCGCCACATCGAACTTGCGTGCAAACAAGAACTTGATAGCAGTCGCGCGCGACACGCATGCTGCTCCGGAGCCGCTCAGGGCTTCCAGGAACGCCTTTGTTGCCTAGAAACAAACACAATGTACATTTCAATCTCGAGAATCTACAATCAGAATGTTTGAGGATAATACGACAATAGAAGAACTAGCATCTATTTTACCAGTTACATCTAACATAACGAAAAAAATATTTAAAAATATTTTTTTTAAATAAACGTCTATGCAATATAACCCTAAGTAAAATTTCTCAAAATGTCATAAATACAAACTACACAACAAAATTTCGTTGTGTATGAGCATAAAAAATTTACGTGATGTGAGTATACTGTACGAAATACCATTCTTCGCAATGCGCAATATGTCATGTAATGTTGATTATGCCTCTACAGTCTATCATGTCATATTTTAATCAATAAAAAAAGTAGTTACGAATAGGAAATGAAACTATTTTTCTGGATTTAAATCGCGTTGGCTGTCAGCCGTGACCATGGGACCTGTAAAGGGCCCAAAACGTCGGTTTGTTTGAAAAAACAAATATACGCGATTTAAATCCGGAAAAATAGTTTCAATTCCTATGTAACAATCGCGAAAACCCAAGAACTCCATAGTTACAAATATTTCACAAAAAAAAAAATGCAAAATTGCGGCAAAGTAAACTGAAAAATGTGCATGATGTGTCCAGTGGAATCTGTTTTTATATAATATAAAATTAGTATAAAAACAATAAGTATACCCGTAGAAATTTCAGCAAATTCCGAAAGAAAGTAATTTCCATCTTCAGCTTTCGCTGCGGATCCATGAAGACGGGACGGCAGGGAATTGCGCACGGCGGGTTTATTTCCAAACAGTTGATTTCTCCATTTCGTCACACTTTCATCGTGTTAATCAGCCAGGGCCTTAGGCGAGCCGCACTGAATCCTAACTAACGATTTAACTCATTTAACGCGCATTCACGCCTTATTGCCCGCAATTCAAATGATGGAAAATGAATTTTAACCGGTTGGATTACACGTTTTTCTATTCCAAACAACAACGCAATTGTTTTGCGAACAACTGACGGAATAATAAAAACCAGTGTTCAGTGTTTAGTGTTAAGGAAATCGTTTTGGGCGTAAGTGGTAGGGGAAATTTATATGTACATAAATAAGTCATGATTTGCTATGTATATTATAGATATGTGCGAGTAGATGCATCTGAAATTCATATTTCATTCCCCTCGAAATCAGCAGCACTGTCGACTATTTCTCTGGTGCGTCATGGAAGGTTTCCGAATATTATGAGAATGGTCTGCGACTGCATATGTAATGGAAGCAAATAAGCGTTGGCAGTCGCCGGTCGGGCTAATTCTTCCGGGATGTGTTTCCTGCGGGCACGGGCCCCACATTTGTATGAGCCGGCACGCACCTACTGTATCACTATTCCAGCTACACTCGTAAAAAAACAACTGTCCTAATTGTAACTTTACCGTCCTTGCAATAGAGTCTACTTCAACAATATTATATGGTTGGGTTAGGTTATCATGATCACGGCATGATCCCTTATATTTCCTCTAACTCGATAGATCCAATCGCACGAGATATTATTGTTATTTTTGTTACCAAGAGCAAGTTAAATACTTAAAAGGACTCAACAAGGCATTAGGCATTGTTTAAAAAAATGTTCTTTGTGAACAAAAACAAGGGTAAGGAAATTCTTTGTAAACCAAACAACAATTATATGCGAGACCTCTTTGGGTCGTCAAGTCTCTGTGATTATAAAACATAATGGATAGAAGTCGAATATGGTACCATTACATCATGACAACATAACGAATGTGAATCGCGTGAGGTATGCGCACGGTTATAAACACAAAAAGAGAATAAGTGACGATAGCGCAGGCGTCTATGACCTGAAGATGATAACTCCATTTCTAGCCTTGAGACAATTATACAATAAATATAATAGTAACAAGAATTAAAAAACAAATTAGTACAAGAATCAATTAAAGGAACTTTTATATAATTTATCTGAAAGGGTTTCCCATTCGTTATTTATTTCCTATAATCTGATTCTTTATAAGTGATTCGTTTGAGCAAAATGTACTTAGCTTTATAGGGTATTAAAAAAAACTACGCGAGGTACTTAACAAAGGTGATATGGTATTGTAATATTAGCTACGTAAATCTCTCTAATAAGAGATTTGTGAAACTGCTTCCCAATTTACGTGAGTTATGTGGAACGCCGGTCCTGCCTCTTCGTCACAGTAATATAAGTAGTGCAAATTGTTAACGAATAATTTGCGTAGGCTGTTGTTAATCGGCCCGTCACCAGATTTGTACATGTGTTTCGGAATTAAAGAAGAATTGTATTGACTCTACAAGAATGACTGCAATAAATAATATCGTTCTCGTGAACGGAATTAAACAATATTTTAAAATGTGTACAAAGTGTGTAAATTATAAATTAGAAAAAAATAAGAAATTTAATTCCAATTACACTAACAAAAAATTTCAAGAACAAACCCAAGATCAGTAAAGTTAGTTTATAAACTTTTTAACAATACACTTCAATAACTTATGAAAGTGTGAAAACAAATTTTTTATACGACACAATCACAACACCGCTGAAAAATATGAGAGTAATGATTGTTTATACAGCAATTAAACCAGTTGTATTATTTTGAGAATAGCTCGTTTGAGTTGTGGTGCGATGACACGCACGATCGCACGAACTCGTTACTCAGGTACAACTGTCAAACAAACGAAAGTACTTGGTGGATGGTCTGCAGAAACAGTGACGTCAGAGAAGCGCACACAATGGTCAATGAACCGATAATATTATTATCGAAAATGAACTATATGACATAAACATAAGCCACGTATCAATAGAGAACCTGTTTAATTTTCTCATAGAAGACAATAATTCTCCCAAATAATTGAAAGCAATTTGCAATTACACGCCTTATAAAACTTTAAATAATATTTTGGGCTGATAGAGTAAATAATAAGAAAACTAGGACGTTCTATGCCGAACTGATAATGTTATCGTGATATGAAATAATAAGGATCCCAGGAGCTGGAGAGACAAACTGTAACAACGGCGACAAAATCTAGTAAGTAACCCGCAATTATGTATAACGTTAACAAATAAATGGATCATACATTTAGTACGTTACTTACGTTTACGCTGAACGCTTCGATCATATAAAATATAATGTATTTCACCTATTTAATAATACACGTTGAACAATGTAATCGCGTATCAGTCACACAAGACAATAATTTGAGAACAATACAAGATGTCATTGAGAGCGAAAACAGGAAGAGTGGAACCGCAAAAACCATCGACGAGTGAAAATAGAACGGCACTTGCAGAAGAGAAAAATCAGAAGCCCATTGTTTTATTTTCATCGTAGTTCTTTCTCGTTCAAAACAAAAGACAGGATATAAACATTTCAATCATTCTTCTAAACGTTACTATCTCACTGCAGGGCAAAGACTTCCCTTCCTCCACTCATCGCAATTTAACGTTTTGACTAGTCTAAACACGATCTCGTAGTGTATTTTTTCAAGTTCATACGATTATCGTACAAATCGGTTCGAACCGTTTTGTTTGCGAGAATTGCCATTCGACTTCAGTGATTACTGCGTTATTGACTATGGATATATCAAAATGACGCAAAAATCATTCGAATTTGGAACTGCTGACAATATTAAATTCATTGCACTGCATAGAAACACTTAACTGCCTTCGTGGCCAAATGGTTACCAAGCCGGACTGCCACGCAGAGGTCCCAGGTTCGATTCCCGGGCCGGGAGAAATGTTTGTATGGCCTACATTTATTTCTCTCGTGAGTTTGGGTGTAATTTGTGGTTGTCTATGTGTGTGTCCATGGCACCCGCAACACAGGGATTCCCTAGTGCGGGGCTATGTTGAGTGTGTGCGTTATTTAAAAAAAAAAAAAAAAAAAATAGAAACATATTTTTTTATACTTTTTTAAATTTTATAATTTTATAACCCAAAATTTATTATCGTTCTCATTTCATTATTTCTTCTTTTAGAAAAGCAGTGATAATCAAAACACCCTCGCGCACTGCACTAACGTTAGGGCGCGTTTCCACTATGTCGTGACGACAGATTGTAGTACAGTTTACAGTGTCGTGTCTTATATATTTAAATGAAGTTGTTCACATATAGCACGACACGATTAACTGTCGTTCACGATTTTTTATCGTTACAACGACAAACTGTCGTCACATTGGGAACAGTTAGAACGACTGTCGTCTGACGACAAAAACGTGACGACAGATTATCGCAGCTTCTATTGTCGTCACGTTTTATTTATCGCTGTCCGCACGTATTCTGCTCCCTGCCCTCCCCACTCGTACCCTGCGCCCTCTGATCGCTTTGCAGTAGCGTTGGGTCGTAGCCAGAGATGGGCAAGGAGGCTGTCGTGAAACGATAAATTGTCGTCATGATCTAGTGGGAACAACTAGTCACGACAGTTGTTCCACGATAAAAAATCATCCACGACGGATAATCGTGATGGCTAGACACGACAGTCATCCAACGACAATAAAACGTGACGACATAGTGGGAACGTGACGACATAGTGGGAACGCGCCCTTAGCGACTGGCTAGCACAAAAACTCGAAATACTATTTTTGCTGTCAAATTCTGTTTACACGGAGACGTTCAATATTCAAAGGCGAGGCGATTATCGCTCACGTGGACGGTCGATAATCGCGAATGTTTAGACGAGGAAAGTTTTTTATATTCTTTCGATAATCGTATCTTCGAGACGAGAAACTCTAAATGGGCCTACTCTACAAGCGCAACATCGGGCAATTAAAGCTCAAAATATAATTTCCAGACCCTTTATTAGTTATAAAATAAAGATATAATCATAGATTGTCATATAATTATTTCTAGTAATACTGTTTTTCGTGCCTACTCAAGAGTTCACATTAATGGAGGTTTGCGAATTTAGCTGACGAAGCACATATCTAGCTCGTCTCGTATTTAAACAATATTTATTAGTCTACATAAAGAATTAGAGTCAATTCCAAGTTCAATACATCAAAACAATTTTCACATGACTAAACAATAGCTGATGATCATTGGGAGAGACTTCAAGAATTTTGTAAATGTAAGTAACATGGTAAACAACTAAAGAAATTTTAAAAATCTGGTCAAAGCAAAAGCAAGATAAAACAGGTTGGCGTGGATGTTAGTTAGCAATACTTCACTTTTACTTTTCGACTAAATAATATTTATTTATGGATGATGTGGCCACGTTTCTACAAATTAATTGCTTATAAACTAATGACGTACATATCTGTTCTTCGATGAGCGATCCACTAGGCGTGTCCACGCCTTCGGGTGACGAATTTATCTAACGTGGGAGGAAGGCACAAGTTTTTGTCTAGTGGCATACCATGTACCACTCGCTAAAAAACAGAGGATGGAAAAAAATAAAGAAAATAGTCTAAGCTAAAAAACCAAAAGAATAAACTTTACTTTTCACGTTTAAGTGCTCTGAACTCGACAGTTTGAGTCATCAGGACATCTTGCATACATATGAGTATAAAAAAGTAATCGTAAGCAAAGCAACATATACTTCAGAAAACCAAAAATATCTTATTCTCAGGATAACGTAAAAGATATTTACAAATGTGCATAGGTACGGTGAGAATTAGTTTTTGTTTAATATAAAATACAGGCAATATAATTGTCATGATGGAAAATTTACCAATGTATCAAATTATCACGACAGTTTAGCATAATTATCCTGTATGTAAAATGTTTCAGCTTTTAGATTGAAACATTATAGAAAAATGTCAAATTTTAATTTGAATACATACTGTACCTACTTATTACCAGCACGCAAGTCTCCAACTGGAGGAGCCAGAATCTATGGTCCCCACCCACTACACTCATGGCGCTCGATTAAGTACATAGAATTATTAAGGATAACTAAATTTCATCATCATTATATCAGCCGGAAGACGTCCACTGCTGAACATAGGCCTCTCCCAAATATTTCCAGACCAGCCGATCGGACGCGACGTGCAAATGTGAATTGCAATAAATATACACACTCGTTTACTCTTGTTAACTCGGTCTGGTTGAGATACGCCAAAATCGAGCTTTCCCCATGTTTCCGTTTACTTTCACATTGGAAATGTTCCGTCCATCCGGTCTATATGACCAAACAATAGAAGCAGTCCCTTTTTACCCCCGACGCAAAAAGAGGGGAGTTACAAGTTATGCTTCAAATCTTAGGGTCGTATTCCAGAACTGTACTCAATGCTCAAGTCAGGACTAGAGTATGATTTCAAGCCATTGACTTACAAATAAATGGACGACGGGTCTAATACAAAAACCACGAAA